CCCTCCAGCATATCAACTACTCCCCCCAGCTTGGTATCATCTGCAAACTTGTGAGGGTCACATGCCATTTTCCAGGTTATTAATGAAGGTATTGAACAAAACTGGCCCCAGGAATGATCCCTGGGGCACTCCACTTGATACTGGCTGCCAACCAGACATCGACCAATTGTCTATTACCTTCTAATCCAGCCAGTCTTCTAGCCACCTTACAGTCCATTCATCCAACAAACCCACACTTCCTTAGCTTGCCTGCGAGAAGCTTCCTTCTTCCCTTTATAAAGATGGGCATTATATAGTTGCCTTTTTGCAACTGAATGAGCAGCACTTTCATAACTCACCTCTCCTACCTCAGTTTAGGCTGCTTATGTTCATACACAGAGCAAAATCCCCCCTATCAACACTATTCAACTCCTCAAGAAACAAGGAGGATAAGGGAATTTGTTTCATTACAACACAGACACTATTTTAAAATGGAAATGTTGTCAGTATATACATATGGTTTCTGACTGGTCATCAGGGTACGCTTAAGCTCTTTACCACAAAGTGAGCAAAGGATCTAATTATAAACAAACTTACTGGGTAGAAATTAATTTTAAACCCGGCATTGCTAAAATAAAATGAACTGCTGAGGCATTAACTCTAGAAAACCTTTTAAAAAGGTAATGTTTTGTGGGAATCCTGTTTATTAGTCAGTTAGTTGGTTCACTTAATTAGATTTAGACCTAGAAAGTTGTTCTCAAAAGGAAACAGTCTTTTTCCCTACACAGAATTTAGTATCACTGACATTTCTCACCAAAGGGCCCTGGGTTACAAGAACAGGAGTTGTGAAGATAATAACTGAAGTACTCTGACAGCTAATTATGGAAGATCAAAACCAGATCTACCCATAGTAGATCTTGCTCAGAATAGTATAATAATTTATATCACTGCCAGTACAATAAATTTAATCAATTTATTTAAAAAAATTTAAAGTAGTTCAAACATACTCAATGGCAAAATGTAACAGTAAAATCTACAGAACTGTTATCATCTTCTGTAACAGTTCTAATAGGAAGACTAAAGAATTAACACTAAAAAACAAAATGGGACTGTCTTATATTTCAAGGCATGCTCCATGACATAAGGTAAAAAAATATTTATTAAGATTCCATAATATCCTTTAAGACCTAGGCAGTCCAAAGGGAACAGCATGTCTTTATCCTGAACTAGAGCACATAAGCTATTCTGAGATGAGAGAAAAAACAAGTGCAATAAGGAATAAGATGAAAAAAGAAAAGAATTACCTGTCAATTCAGCCACCTTTGCAGCAACTTTCTCAGCAAAGCCAATTCTGGTATTTAATCCTGTGCCAACTGCAGTGCCACCAGCTGCCAGCTCATAGACTCTGGGCATGGCTGATTTAATCCTAGCCATACCATATTTAATTTGTTGCACATAACCACTGAATTCCTTTTTTTTTTTTTTTTTTAAAAAAGGACAAAAAATATGAATTAGTGATTAGAATTATTTTATCATTTAACATGATGTACTGCTTATATTAAAAAGCCCCCAAATCATCTGTCTCTATCCAAATAATATATTTTGATTATTGAGGAGAACTTAAATAGATTAGCGAGCTGCTCCCATACTGGAGATAGCTCTGTAGTTACGCAACTATTTGGCTATTTTACATATCCAAAAGGTGTTTGTGTTTGATCTTTCCCACTCCATTCATCATTTGAACCCTAATTTTTTGTAAACCTGGATCCTGTTATTATTTCATACGTTTCTGCAAAATCCACAGAGGAGTTTCTAGGATCTCATCTTAGGTATTGCCTCTTCACTAAAACCCCTCTTAAGCAGGACATGTGTGTGTGTGTGTCTGTTTAGTGAGTAGCACCAAACTAATCTGATACCTTTTTATATTTCTGCTATTGAAATAAGTCCTCGTTTTTAACATGGTAATGCTTCCAAAAGAGATATTAGTTCAAAACAAGCTAATTTGTTTGAACACTTTGTATTATTAAAAGTAAACACATACAATAAGTATTAGAAGAATTTCATTTAACTGTTCCCCTTGTTTGCATATTTCTAGATAATACTACATTTACATTAATCAGTTAACGCCTTCACCACAGCTGATTTTCTGGCTGAAAAAATACAGATAGACAACAATTTAACATGATAATCACAGGCTGTCCTGTGAGTATTTAGATTTGTTTGTAGAGCTACACCTTCTGCTCAAACTTATTTTCCACAGAGCTCTTCTCTTCATCAGTGACTTTCAAAAAAGATTCCCAAAGTACTGCATATGAAATGCTGCAGAGTCATTTTTGGTAAACACAACCTGGCTATAACAGAACAGAAATTCAGCTGTTCATCAAAAATTTGTTCTCAGTTGCCAACCTAGCTTCCTTGCCCTATTTACCTTGATGAACATTAATTAGCTCCTTTAATTGACAAGAAATGCTCCAAACAAATAGGTAAAATGATATTGCTTCATGTTTCATACCTGCCCAAGAGTGAGTGGAACAGCATCTTGGGTATGGGTACGTCCTATTTTTATGATCTGGGAAAATGCTTTGGATTTTGCTTCAAGTGCATCTTGCAGCTTCTGTAATCCAGGTAACAATACTTCATTAACTTCCTGGGCAGCAGCAATATGCATTGCTGTTGGGAAAGTATCATTTGAGCTCTGTGAAGAAAATTCAAGACAACAGTTATTATTTACAAGTTTTGCTCATTTCCATCACTATTGTATCCAAGTGCTTCTCACCAACTGATATAGTCCCAAAAATCTCAGATAGGTGAGAAAGTAGTATCATAATTTACACAGCAGAAACTAAGACTCAGAGCAATATTTTCCCCAAGGTCTGCAGAAAGAATTCAGATCTCCTGAACTCCCTCCAGTGTTGTCACTGCAACAAGGCAACCTTCTTCAAATTTCACACACAAAAAATTAAGAGGTTAAAAATCCAGCTCATTTGGTCTCTCTCAAAAGTCTCTCTCTCCCCCTCCTCCCTACACCCTTCCATGCACAGAAAAATGAAAGGAATAATTGTTTTAGTTTAACTTTTGAGACAACAGGTAGAATAAGATGATTAAGAATTTGACCAGTTCTTGAACTATTCAAATTATACTTGAACAATTATTTTTTAACCCAGAGCAAGTCGTGGAGCAAACATCATAGTCTATTAGGTAAAGAACAGCAGAAGTACTTAGACCTCTTGGTCAAAGTTTCAGCTTTCATTTTAAAAATCTTTAAATCTGCTATTATTGTGAATAAAACCTTCCAAAAGGAAAGGAAAATGTAAGCAAAACAGAAACACCTGCCATAATTTGTGAAGAACCTGAAACAACAGCTCTGAGAGATGAAATAACCTGTTCACTTCACTGGATACTACCTTGGGTGCTAATTATAGAACTTTTAAATTTAAATGTCACCATCTGTAACTATTTTACTGGTGAAAGCAGGAATGAGGAGAGTAACATGCTATGGAGATCTATAACATGTTCATCTTGTTGACCTTTAAAATCTGCATTTGATTCCATTATTGCTAGCTGAAGTAATAAAACACCTGTCAATCTACCAATGTATGGGAATCTGGAGGAGAAATATTACAAGTCAAAAAGTCCAAAGGATACCAAGGCTTTAATCATATTATTAACTATGTGATTATCTTTAAATGTTAAAACCTATATGCACTACAAGCTAATAAAAAGTTCAAACTTTTTCTGAGGAGCAACAAATTCAACCTAATATACCAGAACAAAACATAAGCAATATCAAATTAGTGACCTATACATTTCAGAGTTTATTACATTTCCATCTGTAAAATAGCTAGCAGTTTGACTGCAGTTAGTAATCATTCGAACAAAGCTGCAATATCTCAAAAAGAGCTCATTTTTTTCTGTTATTCTAATAACAAAAACAATAACCTTGGATAGGGAGATCTTTATTTAAAAGAAAGGCAACAGAGAAGTTGTAGCCAGCTTTAATTCAACCCCAGAATTAGAGATAAGAACAATTATGCTCCAGATCCTTCCAATCCTTGGTCCTCTCTTGTGGAACTGGCAAAGCAAGATACCAATTCATCTACTGTCTATATCTGCAATTAGCCTTAACTAAGCTATCAATGGCTAACAACCTGCTGCACTGCTGTTAGCCCTGAAATGTAGACAAAGCAAATTACTATTTGCACCACTACAATGAACAGCAATTAACATCTGAATCAATGTAGTGATCAACCCCATCATAAGAGCTTTGAAGGCTGAAATTATAAACACAAAACACCTATATCTAACAGCAATGACCTCGTAAGAACTATTAAGATTCAACTTGAAAGTTTTAGTGTAAAAAGTAAAACTAAAACTAAAGACACTTTTAGTTTTAGTATAAAAATACCGTACCAATTTGAAAATGTAAATACTGACCTGACTTTTATTAACATGATCGTTAGGATGCACTGGGGTCTTGCTCCCCAGTTTCCCTCCCATTATCTCAATTGCTCTGTTGCTGATTACTTCATTTACATTCATGTTGGTCTGGGTTCCAGATCCAGTCTGCCATACCACCAAAGGAAAGTGATCATTTAATTTGCCCTCAGCTACCTATAGAAAAACAGAAGTTTTTGTTAATTCTTGTAACAGCAGCACTGACACATTGTAAGCTATTAGCTAAATAATACTCCATTACATTTGTTAAGTCCAAAGTACCTCACAGGTACTTCACTAATTTCAGTAGCTTTTTACCAATGTAATTAAGAGCAGTATAAAATTAGTTACACTGACTGTTAGGACAGCAAGACAGGATACCGTTTTCTACTAGGTTTTAAGATTTGTCATTTCAGAATCTGAAAGTGCTCTTCACTGAAATTCCTTATTTTACAGTTGTAGAAACAGAGCCAAGGAAAATGTCCATTAAGTAATGACTTATCACCCTGACTATGCAGGATCACTTTTTCCCCCTCCCTTCTAAGAATGCCACAGGTTCCAATCCCCTTGGAGGGGACTAAGAGTAAAGTACTGGAGTTCCCTTCTACAGGTGCCTACTCAGGTTAGTAGGCAGGCACAGTTCTTTGAGTAGATGTGATATCTTATTAGACCAACTGAGTAGTTGGAAAAAAAGTTCTTGGCAAGCTTTCAGACACAGTCATCCTTCTTCAGGCATAGAGAGTTTCTGCTGGTCTGAGACTCCAAGGACTGAGAGAAGTTATTTAGCTATTTAGAAGCTAAAAGTTTAGCTTCTCTCATTCCTTGGAGTCTCAGGCCAGCAGAGACTCCCTGTCTGAAGAAGGGTGACTACACCCAAAAGCTTGCCAAGAACTCCCTCCCCTCACCCCCACCAAACTACTCAGTTGGTCTAATAAAAGTTATCACGCCTACCCAAAGAACTTTACCTGCCTATGTCCTTAGACCAACACAGCTACAACCAAAAACCCTGCTCAGGTGTTTCTCACTGGAATAAAATCTGGTCTGCTACTACCCAACTCAGAAGCTACTTGAGAAAATTCATCATATGAGCAACTCATTTGATCACAGATCACCTTTCAGAGTACTAGGTTTCAGGTGATGTTTAGCATGGTCAGAACAAACCTTGTTTCTGAAATGCTTAAGTTGCTTTTGAAGATGGAACAAGTTTCATGAATTGCAGTGCCACCACATGGGCTTCTTATTTCAGAATGAGCACTTCCATAGGAAGTGCAATTTGGGTAAGAGGCATTTGGAAGCTCATTTGTAACTGCAAACTGTTCTTGAAACAACACTTAGCTAAGGAAGTCTGGAGGCTACTAGTCACACAGATTCAATGCAAGTGCCCCTTTGCTGTTTGTTTTTAGCAAAACCTCAAGTTCCAACTACATCAAGTAGCATTAACTATCACCTACTGGCTCAAACACCTTGTTTCTGTCAAACAGGTACTTTCCCCAGTCTTGTCCTGGAGCCAGGAGGCTTATACCTGTAGAAGTAATTAGCTTACTTGACTAGAAAAACAAACA